TAAGATCTTATACATTTTGAAGTAATTCATTCAACTTCAGTTCAGTTCAGTTCTTTTTCTGATCTTTTAGGCGTTTTGTCGCCTCTATCGATTAGCTCATGATGTACTCCTTTTCGATTAATTAGTCTCCGAATTATTCATTCCGCTTTTCTTCTAATGCTTGTCTAGGTTGTTCTTGAAAGCGTTCACGGTCTTCGATTCAATTACTTCTCCTGGCAACATGTTCCAATCTGTAGCTGATCTAATGGTAGAAAAGTTTTTCCGCAATTCGAAGTTGGCCTTCTTCGTTATCAATTTTTTGTCATTTGTCCTTGCGTCACGATAATTCAATTCGAACATGTCTTTCGTAGCTTTTGGGTCATAGCGGTTGTAACCTATTTTGAACATTTCGATCATTGTTCCTCGCCTTCTGCAGTATTCAAGTGACGGTAGTTTTAGTTTCTTTAACCTTGCATTGTAGCTTAGTGTCTGCAGACCTTGTACCATTAGTGTCGCTCGTCGTTGCACATTTTCGATTAATCTTGTGTTCTTCTTTAATCGCGGGTACCAGGCTTGATTACAGAACTCCAAATGAGGCCTTATGAGGGCTTTATAAACATTTAAAAATACAGGTATAGTCAATTTAATCTTTTCTTAAAAACTGCAATGATAGAATTTGCCTTTTTAACCTTTGCGAAGATATGAGAGTCAAAGGAGAGTTTACTATCGATGATCACTCCAAGGTGTTTTTCTTCTACCGTTTCAAGCTGTTTATCGTGAAGTTCATATGATCCTAAGGCTGTTTATCGTAAAGTTCATACGATTTGATCCTCCATTTGAGATTATCATATGTACATATTCATCTTCATTGAAATGTAAAAGACTATTTTCTGACTATTCTTCCAGTTTTCTTAGATCTTATTGCAGCAACTCAACGTAATTTCTCTGTATAGTTTTGCATCGTCTGCAAATGCATATATATTTTTGATTTGACTGTGTTTGGCACTGAATTTATATATTTTACAAACAAAACAGGTCCAAGTACAGATCCTTGGGGAGTCCCACTCAGAACATCTTTCCATTCAGATCTACTGTCGTTTATCACAACTCTTTGTCGTCTCGTTAATAAAAACTCGTTGATCCAGCCCAGTGTTTTTCCTTTTATTCCATATTGTTTTAGAAATCCTATCAGCCTTTTGTGCGGAACCGAGTCGAACACTTTCTTGAAATCCAAGAAGATAACATCCGTTTCTCAGCGACTATCTATTGTTTTTGTGAAATCATCCAGTTTTTGTGAAATCATCTATTGTTTTTGTGAAATCATTTGTGAAATCATACAGCAGTTTTTGTGAAATCATCCAGAAATCATCCAGTGAAATCATCCGGCGACTATCTATTGTTTTTGTAAAATCATCCTCTCAGTAGTTGTAATTGTGATGATCTACCGGGCAGACAACCAAACTGTTCGTTTACAAGGATTTCATTTTTTTCTAGATGTTCCATAAGATGGGCTCTAATTATTTTTCTCAAAAATGTTACAAATTATTGATGTTGAGCTTACTGGACGATAGTTGTCAGCTAACGATTTTTTCCCTTTTTTGAAGATAGGGGCAATGTGCGCAAGTTTCAAGTCTTCAGGTAGCTTCGTTTCGTCCCAAGATTTGTTTAAAATTTTTGTTAGAACTTGAGTCAGGAATTCTCTCAATTCAAACAGAAGTTTCGGGTGAATTTTGTCGAGCCCTGGAGATTTCGATGTATTGAGTGAGTCTTGCTCTTTCACCAATTTCAATTCCTCTGTTATTTCTGGATAGTCCTTTATTGAATGGGTGATATCCAGTTCTGGAATCTTCCATTCTCCTGGTGGTTCGTGTGTGAAGACTGATGAGAGGAATTTTGACAAAACTTCAACTTTTTCGATCTCATTGGTCGTTAAAGATCCATCATCCTGCACTAAAGCTGGTATTGCATTTTGTAACACGGTTTTCTGTCTCACATAGTTCCAGAATTTTTTTAGTTTCATTTTTACAACTTTCGCTATTTCACTTTACTTTGCCCTTTGATCATTTCGAGTAGCTGTCCTAACAGCATTTCTTTTTTCTTTATAGTTTACTTTGTTTACTTATAGTCAAAATTTACTTTGTTCCATTGCAGCAAAACTTTTCCAGTATTTCTTTTTTGCTCTGATTGCCTGTCGAGTGGTATTGGTGAATAGTAAGTTGTTTCTACACTCTGGATTGAGCCTAGTTAATAATACAAACTTTTTTGTTAGTTCAGTCAGGAGTTAGCGCAAACCCGTCCAAAGTTTTTCAACATTGTCTTCACTGTGAAGAAACGACAAATTTTTTACTTCATCTCACATTTGGTCGTAGTCTCCTTTAGCGAAGTTGTATCTAATCATGGTCTTACTAATTTTGCGGTGCGCGGGTAACTCCACTTCTATGAGAACGTGGTCGCTCTGTCCCAGAGGTGGTTGGATATTAGTGTTTAGGTCGCTTAGACCGGCATCAGTTAAAACTATATCTAGTAGTGATGGTTTATATCCGGCAGTAATGCGAGTTAGTTCATCGATGTGTTGGGTTAGAAATACATCCCTAACTGCTTGAAGAAATTTGAATTCCTTGCTCTCCTCGTCCTTGGTTGTACTGCAATCATTCCAGTTGATTGATGGAAAGTTTGTGTCGCCCAAGTTTACAGTAAATTCCTTCACATCTTTTTCGCATAGTTCTTTGATTGATTGGCAAAGGCAATTGTTATTCACTTCTGGTGAATTTTCGCTCCAGCAGACAACGGCCAAGCGGATAAATTTTCGATCGATAGCAATGTCACATATCATCATTTCTTGTAACTCGTTCGGGGTTTTGTCTAATGCAGTAGTCTATATCTTTAATTACGGAAATTAAAATTTCTCGCACGCCGTCGTTTGCATTCATGTTTACTGACTCAATGTTATAGTTGTTAATTTTGTAACAAGCTGGATTCCACTCGGTTTTGGAATTTTTCGATTTTGCTTTTACGAGAGCAATTTCATCTGGTGGGTTCTTTTTATCTTCAATTAACTTGATCAATTCCTGATGATTCGTTTGTGTTAGTGTCAAAATTTGTGTACCAGAAATTTATTTTTGTAGTCTTGCTTTCTTCTTGACTTTTAGTATCTGCGTTCCTCGAACCAGATTTACATAGTTTCCTTCTTCCTGATCGTTCAAGTTTTTTTGCTTTCGTAACTAGGTTTCGCACTGCTTCTCTTTCTTTCAAACTCCGATCCGGGCTAATTCTGAGATTTCTGATTTCTGCAGTGGCTTCTTTCAACTTTGGCAACTTTCGGTTTATTTCAATAACATCTTGTTCAGTATTGAAGGAAACCAGCAATGGTCTGTTTATATCCTCATCGGTTGGTTTTCCGACCGATTCGGATCGTTTTCACAATTTGTTTATCTTTTATTTCGATACTTGATAAAAAAATTTCAACTATTTTCTCATCTTCTTTTTTCCTTGATGCACTGTCAGTAGCTGCACTCTCCTTGGCTTTGTAGATCACAATGTTCTTTTTTCGTCGATTTTCTTCAGCTTCTTCTCTCTTTTGTTCTTCTGTTGCTTCTAAGATGATCTCTTTCAAAGGTTTCGATTTCCGATTCACAACTTCTTTCCAAATTCCTGTCTGTTCATTAAAATTTCCGTGAGATGGTCCTGCTGTTAATTTATAGAGATCATTCATCATGTTTTTCATGTTATCCATAGTTGGTATCTTAACTTTTTGGTCGAATGATCGGTTCCACTTTCCTGTTCTTCGCTGATAAGTTGCTTCACGGATGGACAGCAAGCTGTGCAACACCAAATAACAGTAGTTGGCACATGTAGTGATAGGCTGCGCCAGGCATTTTGCACAGTAGTGTTCACGGCAACGCTCACACTCCATGACTTTGTCTAGGGGGTTTCCATATATTTCCTTGCAAATTTTGCATTCCCAGGGCTCAACGGGATCACTCACTGATGTTGTGCCTTTATGGCGAGTTTTGGGGGCATTTTTGATGACCTCACTTTCTTCTGGCTTTGCCGCTCCAAGAAAACGAAACCTCAGAAGCTAAAAAGCACGAAAGAAATGAAGTTTCTTAGAATCACTTCCCTCCTACTTCGCCGCTCCATGATCATTAAACCTCAGAAGCTACAAAAGTAAGAAAGAAATGAGTTCTCTTGACCACGTTAATCAATACAATTCTATCAGCTCACTCTGCCGCTCCAAGATAATTAAACGTCAAAAGCTACAGAGCAAGTTTAAAGAAAAGCGATAGATTTTACCAGGGTATTTTACTGCTTCTTGTTCTTTGGTTTCCTTTTTGATTTTAGTTTTCTAGTTTTCGACCTTTTCTTCAAGACTAGTTTACGAAGATTTCGCTTATTTCGTAAAACAGTCCGGAGGAGTTGTTTTTCCAGTACAGAAGAGGGATGAACTTTTGTATCTCGTCTAGTACTAAACTTCCTTGATTCTTCCTTTTTGATATCAAGTGTTTGCGAACGTTGATTATCGTAAGGTTCTCGGTTTTTAACTCTAGTAATCGGTCAAAAATCCCTGTACTTCCTCTTCGACAGGCGTACAAAATTGCACTGATTCGATGTTTGAATAGCCCGATGATTTCGAGAGAGTTCTTCAGCTGTGCACGGTTCGTCGTAGTTGCTATGATGAGCGTTGATGGTATTACTAAGATTGCTTTTACTCATCAGTGATCCTCGTACAAGCAGCTTTTGCAGAATTTTCAGGGGGTTTCTGTTATTTGAGTGGAATCCTAGCCCACCGACAGTAAAGTATTTTCCTGTGAGTCATTTTTGAATGGGGTGTTTCGCAACTTTGATTGCTCGATCTAATGATGAAGCTCCGATAACAAATACCATAGATTGAGGGATAGATCTTCACCTGCCCTAAGCTAGAGGCGGGAGGGGGACTTTGGACAAATTATCGTATTCGTAAATTTAATTAATCAAATAAACCATCTGAAAACACACGGTTTGAACAAAGGAAAAGGACATATATTTAATAAGTTTATCACAACAATTAGGCTAAAAGCTTTGATTCTCCCTGTTGTGTTCTTGAACTCTTCGCGAACATTTGACAAACTTTTGCCGATCCAGTCGTTCCGTTTTTCCTTGAATATATCAGACATTCCGTTGGCGCTCGAACAACAGGCTCGAAAAAATGAGCTTTCATATTGAACTTTTTCGAGAAAATTTCATATGCCTAGACTCATATGAAATCTCTGCTAGTTTTCCTAAGATGGGTCTAATGTATTCAGCAAGAGGGCTTGGATATAAAAGCTTACAAACCTGTGATGCATTACAACTGTGCGATTGTGAGCGAATGACAGGTTGAAATTTTCCACAGGACCGAAAAGTATTTCATCGTCCTCGATATCCGGTTGAAAACCGAAGGTCGTCTCCATCTCCTCAAGAAGCGTAGAGTGCAGAACAATATCTAAAACAAACTTTTTCGCCAACAGAGACAAAAATCAAAGCGAAACTTAGAGTATCAGATTTCTAGATAATTAGCGATTAAGAAAAAAACACACTCTTCTTTAATAATCATTAATTAAAAAAAGAGTACGTCGTTTGCTAAAAGAAAATAAAATGTCCCATAACATCTAGCAAAAAATGAATTAACTAATATTAAGAAGAAAATTTATTAAAATGTGAAGTCGAACGTTTTCGGAACTATGACCATCGTCAGATTAATAAAATTGATACAAAATGATTTACAGACGTTAAAACAACATAAAAGACTATCATTTTTCCGCTTTGTGAGGCGTCAAGTTAAGGCAAGCTTAAAGACAACATCAGAAAACCATAGAAAAAAGTTAGAAAAACTGTCCGAGAGACAAGATAAACCTCTTGGGGGGGGGGGGGGGGGAGAAATGAGCGATCAGTTAAGGTGCTTGATAACATAGAACTGCCAGGATGGGTACATGAAGTGTTGTCAATGGGCCCGAAACATCCCATTAGAGACAAATTTAACGAAACGCACTTCTTGGCTGATATCGACAGTTTCCTCTCACAATTGAAAAACCAAAAAACATCTGGTGAAACTTTATGTGAGATAGGAGCCGCGGCAAAGGCATATGCACAAAAAAGTAAGGCAAACCCCAAGTGACAAAGTTATTTAAAAAAACGAGAAAATATCTCAAAGATAATGTGTTGCTGGCTGTGCCTTTTGATAGAGGTGTTGGTTTTTGCATAATGTGGAAAGAAACGTATGAATTAAGGCTGGAATCGTTGTTGCAATCTGCTCAGTTTTTGACAAAGAGGCAACCACTGATAAGTTTATTCTGAAAATTGAGAAGGAACTCAACAAAGAATTACTTGCCATGAACAAAAAAGGTAAAGGATCAATAAGACTAAGTTGAGGTCAACAGGAGGGCAACCGTCCCATTTTTACGGTTTAGCAAAGGTATGATACATTCGCCGGGAAGTAAATATCGACGGAAAATAAAAACAAGCTATAAAACGACTGGCCAGCGTCTAAACTAAGCTCTACATGCTTTTCACCGTCTCTACCAAAGCCAGTTCTTTTGGTGGTCTTTCTAACATCGGATCGACAAAAACGTTACTGCTTTCGGCATTGGTCAAAACACTCAAATTAACTTTTATACATGCAAAATTAGTGAGCTCATGTCTGGGTCTCAGTATCCCCAGAACATGAGGTCACTCTTAAAAACAGGGCTACCTTTTACTTACTATATTATTGTTTTTGTTCAGTAGATAAAAATCATCATCTCCATCGAAGATGGATCAACCCTTTCCCCTAACTCCTAGCTTCTCATCGTCGAAAAATGAATTCAGATGGTAAATCAACTCAGTTCAGGACATAATAGAGAAACTAAAAATTTATATAAAATGATTTCAGTTCGAGTCCCGAGACCCCTCCGGATTCCTGAATCCGGGGAGATAAAACCGTTATCTCCTCTCCGGAAGGCTGTCTTCTACCCTTCACCGTTGTTGTGAATGGCCTTGCAATTATTGTAGCGACACAATCGTTGCAACTCGGAGCGGTCTCTGCTAACACTCTGTCGTATCTTCGTTTTTTCTCTCATTTATCGTTGTTGTCGCCGTTGCAACTATTGTTGTTGTGTCTCAATTCTGGATTTCTTCCAAAATGGCCGTTTTTGACGTTTCTCAGAAATATGACGTCATCCTTCGAAGTTTTAAAAATCTAGCCTTCAAAATTCTAGCCTTCACAGTTTGACTAATCGTTCCAATAACACTGTTAACCCTTCAAAACTGCTAATTCGGAAGGTTAGCGGCTAATAATTCGAAATTGCCGAATCTGCATTTCCGTCCATTCTGGTCGAATGTCACATACTCCCCGGACAGCCCCGTCAACGTCCCCAATGAATCTCGCAATGTTCGTAAAATTGGTACAGTGTCATCGAACAGAATTTATCCACGTCATATCGCAAATATTTAGGCAAATATTTAGGCATAATTCTTGATTCAAGTTTATCTTTTCATGCTCAAATAAAAACAATTCTCCAAAAAATGGCCCAAGGGATTAAAACTATTGATACAATTGGACAACAACTGCCGACATTATCATTAGTTGCCTTGCTTCATTGTCTTGTTTTATCACATTTAGATTATTCAGCAATTTTTTTACAACAAATTAATGCTACTTTGATGCTATCTCTGGAGAAACAGTTGAACTGGGCGCTAAAAAGAACATATTTCAGATCGAATTTTAAATCTTCTTCCCTTCTTCGCATTAGCAAATCGTTCATTGGAATCGAGAAAAGAATTGAGTTAAAGTGTATAACATACTTATACCAATATCTTACAAACAAAAAGAAGGCTTTTGAAAATACACTGAGACTACCGACTGCCAATTATAGGCTCAACGAAAGAACGAAACAAATTATTTTTGACAAACATTGTTCGACTGCTTCTCTACAAAAATCATTTTTTCATTTGACTTCTAAAAAATGGAATTCACTGCCCATAATTTTGCGCAATTTAGAAAAATCGAAAACAGAATTCAAGAAAAAATTGAAAGAATTTTACGTGAGTGAATTGAGAAACAATCCTATATGTACTAATACAAATACGTGGCGTGATTACCGTTTTTGCTAGTTCTATATTTTTTAATTCAGTTTAATTTTTCACACATTGCTTGAAAGAGAAACTGTATATACTCTGTATATACGTTGTATAATTGGACTATCTGTAAAATTGTTTGTAAAGTTTTATTACCAGCTTGTTCCTAATTCTTAAATCTTTAATTTTCTATAGTATCCGAAACTTCATATACTTTAATCAACCAATTTCCGAACTGTAACCGATTTTTTTTTTTTTGTTTTGTTTATTGCTTGTTTTCTGATGTTTTGTTTTTGTTTGATGTAACCAATGAATTTATAACCAATTTTATTATTTACACTTTGCTACACTGATGCCTCGGCTTTTTATTGTATAGTAATTCAAGTGTTCTTTCTTCTTCTTCTTCACTGCAGAATATAAATGGCATCATACTACACTACTAAAGACTTCCAAATTCTTTACTAATCTGCACTTTCGAGGACATGACTTAAGGTAAAAACATTTTTTCTGACTTCCAATGTCAACGCCCTGATTTAAAAATTTTTCTCCTAGGTTTTAAAAGGTGTTAGTTTCCAGGACAGTCCCGCCAACCAACAAGATAAAATTATCCTACTATGCTCCTTCCCTTCGGAAATCTCGGTTATTATTGGCTCTGAATATTAAAATTAAGGATTTCTGTGGTTAGAAAGAACACTGAAACAATCTCCCTCTTCAAGAGATTATCCAAGTCTTTCATGTCAGCACAAAGTGATCAGTCGTCCTAGTTGATTAAAAAAAGTCATGCAGGCTGGAATATTTGAAAATACTCTTTGCTCAAGCTTTTCTAAATAAATAGTAAGTGTCTCTAAAGCCACTAACTAAAATCAAAATGCAAATTTATAAATGCAACAAATTCTTTAATATTCAAAACTCAACTAAATGTTTTCTTTCAGTTTTCACTAACAACTTGGTTGCTTAGTTTCTCACTTGAGTTTTTGTCACACATATACATAATTCTGAGTTTCAGCTTCTTCACTTTCGTCACTTCTTTGTTTCATCTTTTTTTTTAGTCGTTTAGAAGTTCTAATTATTCTAAATTCTTCTAATTTTCTTTCTTTTCGCATCTTGTTTTCCGGCCATTTGTCAATGCTCCATCTCTTCCTCCTGCGACATTGACACTGCACTTTCAGTCTTTGTGTCTTGCAACACATCGGTAGCTATTCGGACTCTGTTGGAAGCAGTCTTCGAACACTTCTGCTCTTCTACCCTTTGTTTACAACAAGGTAGGGGGTCAACGTTAGATTATCTGTTCCTGCAGAAGCTGTTGTGGAGACACAACGTCACATTTCTCTCCAAATCTTCCTTTAACATCTCTTCTTTCTCACTTCTATCACGTTCACTCATCCTGGAGACTCTCTTCACGGCGGTGGTCACTGCATTCCGATGTGTCACGAAAGCTCGCTTGGAAGCTCCTGCCCCAATGTCCAGCTGATACACTCTGTACACTCTGCCGTGCTTCGACATATGCTTCTTGGCATACTCGTACAACCATGCAGTCATGTTCGCTCTAAACCATAGCATCAGTCGTCTCCTTGCCCATATCTTTTTCACTTCCATCGGAATGTTCAGAATCTTGCACGTTGTCTCAAAAAGCTCTAAATCTTTTAGACAATCCAATTTTTGCAATTGTTCTCTCGTTGTCGCCTCCTGTCTATTGTTCTCCTTCACATGAGCTTCCAGCCATCGTATCGCTATCATAACTCCCACTATCACTATTGTTATGGGCCGTTATGAGTCTGGTAAACCCATGGAGAGCAGCTCTTCAGAGTCCCAGATCAACACCAGATTACTACGATCGGGGTACCACCATGTTTGCAGCAAGCAATGGCAAGGAAACTCGTCATGTGCCAACATGATGCTCCTCCAGTTACGCTTTTCCGAAGCTTCCAGTAGTGGTTCCACTTTCATCACTCTCATCTACTGTATTGTAATCCGTAACTGTTGATCCTCTCTGTTTTTTTCTCTCAAAGTCACTGAAGTTCCCACTGACGTATCCCATAAACTTCCTTCCCACTATCAATTCTAACTCCTCCTTAGTTATCTCTGGAACTGCTGAGAACATTTTGCATAGTAACTTGTAAGGTTTTTCTGACATTCTCGCTAGTCTCACACACTTTGGCACTGAGAAGGCTTGATCCACGATCGTTCTCGTACTTTTTACATCCACAGCTACGAAATGCACTGGGTATCTGCCCTTGCACATTGAAGCTAATGTCGATCCCACCAAATATCGCGCTCCCGATGGTCTGCGAAAAGTTTCATTGTGTCGGATGTTCATTTCCGCCTCGATCGCTTCCCTTCATTTTCCTATGTGTTGTTGCTGAATTTAGTCTGAATTTAATTCCCTCTATA